GAACTGATTTATACCTTGGAGAGCCTGTGGTACTTTAGGTTTGGGGGGCCCTCAACATGGAAATTGAATTGAATTACAGATTAGAAATGAACTAAAATGAATTATAATAAAGAAGCACTAAACCACAAGGGTTATACAGCACTGCAGGGCAGGGAAGGATGTTAGGGTATTGGGTAGCAAGAGGGAGAGAGATGATTATTAGGTTATGGAGTAGAGTGGGATAGTGCAGGGGTAGAGGGTAGCAAGAGATTGAGGTAGGAAGAACTGAGGGGAGTGCTAGGGGTATCATCAGAGTTTGTGGAGTAAATCAGTTGCTGTCAAAAAGTCAATGAGAGAGTCCAGATTAAAGGAGGGTCCATCAGCAAGAAGGAAAGGTAAAGAAAGGGCAGCAGAGCAGAGACGATGATGGAGGCAAATTCTGCGTGCTCATTGATAGAGTGGGCAGTCTAACAGAATGTAGCTAACAGATACTGGAGCCTGACAATTCTCATAGAGGAACAGAGCACCTCTCCATGAGATACCCATGAATAAGACGAGTGTGGCCAATGCAAAGATGGGAGAGAGTAGTCTCCCAACCTGGACATTGATGACAAGAAGACAACCGGAAACATATACTCGATTTAATAGAATGAAGTTTGTTATAGGGCAGATCAGACAAACATTGTTGCCAACGGGTGTGAAGGTGGGTAGCAATTACAGCAAAATAGTCCATGAATGGAACACCTCTATATGAAACCAGGAGGTCATGCACTGCTGACAGTGCAGCAGTCTCTGCCTGTTCATTGCCCTGTACGTCAACATAACCAGGGACCCAACAAAAACGATATCTTTATGCTTGGTAGAGATACAGCATAACCAAAGCTGGATATGAAGAACTAGGGGGTGAGGTGTATCAAATTTTTGTACAGCCTGTAAAGCACTAAGGGAGTCTGAAGTGACTACAAATGGTGACAGGCATAGATGCAATACAGATAAGTGCTACAAGAATGGCATACAATTCTGCCATAAAAATGATAGCCAAGGATAATAAATGCCCTTGCACAACACTGTCCAGAAACAATGCTGCAAATCCGATGCTGTCAGAAGACTTAGAACCATCGATGTACACTGTGATGGCATGAGAATGAAAGTGGAAGTGGTCAAGAGAGTGGGAAGCCACCATAGGCAGTTGGGTTTTCACGCATGACAGTGAGAAAGAACAGACACAAACAGCTGAAACTTCCCAAAGGGGTGGGGAAAAGCGAGATTCTACATGAACATAGAAAGGTGGTAACTGAAGGGAAGACGAGCGAATGTAGGCAAACAGAAAAGGGACGGAGTAAATGGGGCAACGAACAAAGAATGTCTACTAACATCAGTGACAATCCTATATATGGAAGGATTGCGGAGGTCATGAGAGCGAACGTAATAGTGAAGGCAATGAGCATCACGGCGATCGGACAAGGATGGAATATTTGCTTCTGCATAGAGGCTTTTAACCAGTGAAGAACAAAAAGCACTGATGCATAAACAATCCCTGGTGATGGATGGGATTAAGGCTAGAGAGAGTAGCAGGGGAGGCCGCCAAATAGATCTGGTCACCAAAATCGCCTTTCAATAAAATTAGGGCTGAGTGTAGGCAAAGGAGGGTTCTATGATCAGCCCCCATGAAAGATGAGCGAAGGTTTTAAGAAGGTTCAGCCGGCTATGACAAGTTGCCTTCACAAAGGTAATGTGAGGTTTCCAGGATAACCTACAGTCAAACAGAAGGCCTAGAAACCCGACTATCATGTTCTGGGATACACGAGCCATAGAGATACAATGGATGATCAGAGATGACAGAACATCTAGTGAAAGTAATTTGGGGAGTTTTAGTACTGGAAAATTTAAAGCCATGCGTGGTGGCCCAATTGGAAACATGGTTGATGCATACTGGAGAGAAACTGCAATGAGGTGACAGTCAGTGCCTGCACAAGCTATAGCGAAGTCATCGACAGAGGGATGACCAAATACTGGATGGAATAGAGGCCAAATCATTTATAGCAAGGAGAAAAAGTGTTGTGCTCAGAATGCATCCCTGGGGCACACCTTCAGCTTGGACAAAGTCTGGGGAAAGCATATTATTTACCTGGACACAGAAATGTCTTTCAGTTAGGAAGTTCTTAAGGAAGGATGGTATATTGCCTCAGAGGCCTAAGGAGTGGGCTTGGGCCAAAATATTATACCTCAAAGTTGTGTCATATGCCTTCTCAAGGTCAAAAAAATATGGCAATAACTGAGTGGTTATTCGCAAAGGCATTAGGAACATACGTATCCAAGTAGGAACATACGTATCCAAACATGGTAAGGGGTCACTGGTAAAACAACCCTTACGAAAGCCATATTGACCAGTGGAAAGACTGTTTTCTCTCTCTAAATACCACATCAAACGTTCTGTCACCCTTCAAGCTGCACTGGTAAGAGCAATGGGACGATAGTGGGAGGCATCATGTCCTGTAGTACTCAGTTTGCAGAAACGGAGATTTGACAGATTTCCACAGCTTCGGAAGAAATCCTTGTGACCAAATAAAATTAAAGTCATAAGAGGACTGCAAGGGCTGACTGATGTAAATGTTGTAACCTCTGAAGTGTAAAAGGCACACTATAAGAATCTTCTAAGGGCTCTAACTCTTTGACAGACTTTGAGGAAAGAAACGAAGGGCATAGATGGTGCCCCTGAGAAATACGTACCAGATGATTACCAGTTTCAGTGGCAACATCAAGAGGGTTTCCTATATCAACACCAGCAACTCGCAGAACAGGAGCCGGGGTTGGGAGAGTATTTACCACTCAGTTTCCGGACTTTTTCCCAGACTGCACTCATAGAGGACACAGAGGTGATGGTGGAAACAATCTCGCCAGCAAGTGTGTTTAGTGTCACAGATGACATGGCTAGCAACCACTCACTTTTGCTTAAAATCAAGAAGTCTCTCTGTGGTTCTATTGTACTAGTACCTGCCCCATGCAGTGCATTTCAAATGTACTGTCTGAGCACAAGCAGGAGACCACCAAGGCATGCACTTCTGAGAATGCCTGCCCGAGGTTTCAGGTATAGAATGAGAAGCTGCGGTTAAAACTGAGGTCGAGAAGAGGTGTAAAAGTTCATCAATGGAGGACAAAAAAGGACTCACTAAAAGCAGTTAGTTGCGAGTAAAGGTCCCAATTGCAGGAGTCACAGTGAGACCCCCCCAGAGAAAATGGTGGGCATTAAAATTGCCAAGTAACAGAAGTGGTGGCAGTGTTATGCAGAAATGTGGGATATTTGGGGTCTAGAGCCTTGTCTAAGGGCAAAGGTAAAAGTTACACACCTCTCAGGCATAACCAGGCCACCCGGCTATCCCAGTCAAAACAGAAAGCACTAAACCAGCATTTGTACTTCAATGGGTTGGTTAACAGGGGGTTAGGCAAAAATCCTAGTTAGGAAAATATATCTATTTAATCTATTTATTCGTCATAAAACTATATACACACTCTAGAAAACACCTTCATGTATCTTCTATCCTAAACGCCCAAATAGCAGAGCACAAGAAGCGGGCAGCTGGAGAGTCCAGGAAAACAAACACAGCCTAGCAATGCCAGGCCTTCACTACTCCAATACTGACCCCATTTCTTATTTCCTCACTCAACCCACAGCACCCTGACTATTTCAGAGCCTAGGTGAGCCTGCAGGTAAACCATAGAAGAGCCTGAGTTAGCTAAACAAAAGGAGTACACCACTACAAAACTTAGCTTAAATACACGGCATCGCCAACGCCAGCCTCCAGGCCATGCTGACTACACGACTCGCCCCAAGCCACACTTACCCCAAAACACGGTTGGAAAATAAATCCCTGACAGGATTTCTTTATAATTTACATTGTAATCACTTTACAGTACTCTCAAATGCACATTATGAATTATAAAATTAAGCTTTACAATTATAACATTCATACTATTATTACAATCTTCTCTACTGTATGTACATTGCAATGTCATGCAGAACCCTGCATAACACCCCGACCCCTAGACCATAGGTCTCGCTCTGCTAGCAGGGTCCCTACGGACACTGCTAGGCAAAAGGAAAATAGAAAATAAATCCTACACTAAGGTCTGAGGCAATGGGCAAAATGATAACTCGGGAATGACCACCATACAATCACAGTCTTTTGGTACTACAATTATGCAATATTAACAAACTGAGGTACTAGACTGCGGATACGTAAAACTCGCCAAACATAAAAGTGATCAAGTTCTATGCTAAACGAGCCCACAGTCATGCTCTTAGACAATTGTTAGGAAAAGGCACCATCACAACACAGCGCTGGCCAGGCACTGGTGTTGATGCATTGTACCTAAATTATATCAAGTGCCCTGAGAAGTGCTGTTTTATGAAGTAACACCAAAGCTCTGTATATTGCAAGATAGACCAAACTATATGTGCTACAAAAAAAAAAAAAAAAAAAAAAAAAAAAAAAAAAAAAAAAAAAAAACTACATTTTCAAGGAGAAGTTCAAAAAAACATTTTTTGCATGTTAAATTCTACTTAAAAAGCAACATCACATTATGGTTCCCATCTCACAACAATCTTTAGTAAGCAAAATTGGCTCCCCATGACACACCTCTGCGAGAATCAGGAGAGCACAGGAGGGGGAAAAATATCAGCCCCCCCCCAAAAAAAAAGGGTGGACAGTCACATAAATCACATTGGTGGGACTGTGGCCGTAAAACCCTGGAGCCATCACTGACGACCCCCAAAAGGTGGACCTCCCAGGCCGACACCTGCATGTCATTCCATGGACCCTGGAGTCACCCCAGCAGTGATAAAAAAAAAAAAAGTCCTAGTGAGCCAAAACACGTCAGATCAAGATACATGACCCAAAATGTTGAGGGAATCACTGCCAGCCCCACATTCACTAAAACTTAAGGTCCAGCAGTCCCTATACCAACATAAAACAGAGGTGAGGCATCCCAGCCAACACCTAAAAAAACGTAGCATACCTTACCTAGGCATGACACTTGATGTGACTGCCACTAAAACACACACACACTAGGGAATCTTGATACCTCCAGCTCCAGCTCAACCTGCCCTTCTCCGTTGGGTGGTCCAGGGTTCCATCTACTCGTTTCTGCAGATTGCTACAAAACAAGAATAGGTAAATGATCTATACACATCATTTACTTTAAACATGAGACAAGGTTCAGCAAGCACATTCTCTGCTCCCTTCACATAATGAATCACAAGATTAAGAGGTTGGAGAAACAAGGCCCACCTCGTAAGTCTCTGATTATGGTTCCTCATTAAGTGAAGGAAACAAAGGATTATGGTCACTATACACAGTTATAGGGTGAACTACTGATGATATATACACTTCAAAATGTTGCACTGCCAACACTAAGGCAACAACCTCCTTTTCTATGGTGGCATAGTGTTGTTGATGCTTTTTGAGTTTTGTCGAAAAGTAGCTGATTGGCAATAATTGTCCCTCTACTTCCTGCAGTAATACAGCCCCAACACCAGTGTCATTGGCATCTACTTGTAGAGAAAACAGCAATGTGAAATTAGGACTAGCCAGCACAGGAGCACTAGTAAGCAGAGCTTTTGCACGTTCAAATGCCCTCACAAATGTATGCTTGGGGGTAGTCAGATCAGTGAGTGGGGAGATCACCTTTGACAAATTTGGGTAGATTATTATTATAATCAAGGGGGAAGAGCTAAACCCAGAGGATTATACAGCACCTGGGGGGATGTGGAAGTCATTCAGGCTTAATTCGGGAAACTGGAGCACAGATCCAATTCCCTAAATCAAGAGCCCCTCACTAACATCAAGGAACCTTCCTTGAGGGGAATTTGGGCAGAACTTTATAGAAAATGTTACGATGCCCACAAAACGCATAACCTCTTTTCGGTTCTTTGGTACAGGGTAACTGTCTATAGCCTCCACCTTGGCATTCACTGGGGCCACTTTCCCTGGCCAATAACATGTCCTAGAAAAGTTACCTGGGCTTGTCTGAAAACACTCTTTGCCAAATTAACTGTGAGCTGAGCACCTGCAAGCCTAGAGAAAAGCTCTCTCAGATGCCTCACATGCTCTGTCCAACAGTCACTAAAAATAACCAGGTCATCACACCACTTAGGCCACATATAACTTCCTGAATTCTGTGTTGAAAACAGGAGGGTGCATTACGAAGCCCAAAGGGACAAACCTTGTACTGAAAAAGCTCATCTGGCATTACAAAAGCAGAGATGTCACTGGCACGTGGGGTTAAAGGTATCTGGTAATAACCCTTCAACAGGTCTAACTTACACATTTAGCTCACCCCCCCACTGCTTCAGTGACATCATCCATTCTAGGAAGAGATAAACAATCAGCCTTAGTTATTAAATTACCCTTACGGTAGTCAGTGCACATCCTCATGGTGCCATCTGGTTTGGGAACCATCAGACAGGGGGATGCCCACTCACTCTCACTTGGTATTATCAAATCATTGCCAAGTAGAAATTTCACCACCTTCTCCATACTTTTTCTCTTTTGTGGGTTCATTCTGTAAGGGACCTGCCGAATTGGTTCAGCTTCCCTTACATGTATATCATGGGGCTTTAGCTTGCTTACATGAGGGATATCCCCAAACAAATCCTCAAAATTCCAGAGAAGCTGAACCATCTCAGCAACCCTTTCCTTACCAAGACCTAACATACATTGTGAAGGGTCTTTTAACAATGCCCTGTTACTAAGGTGAACATCTGTCGCTTCCTGCACATCAATGTCCACCCCTGGGTCACCTACTGTTTTAACACATGCCACACCTCTTTGGTGGTACCTTTTTAGTGTTTATATGCACCACACATTCAGACTTCCGACGCCCAGGTGCGTGAATCTTGTAATTTTGATCTGTGACCTTTTCCATCACCTTGTACAGCCCATTGTACTTTGCTTTTAAAGCGTTACCAGGCACTGGCTCCAATGATAGTACCACCTCTCTCACTGTAAAGGTACAGGGCACTGCCTTGTGGTCAAATAGTCTCATCTTAGTCTGACTGTTGTGCAGGTTCTCAGCCACCAGACATTTCATGTGAGCCAAATGGTCTCTGCAAGCGAGAAAATCCTCCGAGGGGGGAAGCCTCACCAAGCCAGTGATCCCTCAAAGTTGTCAGTGGCCCCCTTACCTGGTGACCATAGATCAGCTCGAAGGGACTATAGCGTAATGAGTCCTGAGTGCTGTCCCACATGGCAAATAAAAGGAGGGGGATACCCTCATCCCAGTCTTTCCAGTACTGGGTGCAATAAGCACTCAGCATAGTCTTGAGAGACTGGTGAAACTGCTCCACAACCCCTTGACTCTCTGGGTGATAGGTGGTGGAGGTTGTCATTTTAATATTAAACTCTCCCAGAACTGTGCAAAAATGTTTAGGTGTAAAATCTGACCCCTGATCTGTTTGAATTTCCTTAGGGATCCTGACCTGTGTAAAAAATTTCACCAATGCTCTCACAACCATGCGTGTTGTAATTTTACAATTTTACGTAGTGGAATGGCCTCCAGAAACCTGGTAGATGAACAAACAATAATAAATAAGTACTGGTTTCCCATCTTGGTCCTGGGTAGTGGCCCCCCACACACTCCACCACCAGCCTGCTAAAAGGGGCAGGTTTAATTCCCTGATTAGGTTTTCCTATCCTTTGGCAAACCGGGCATGATTCTACATACTTACCCACCGTTTCATACCTGGGGCCAGTAAAAACGTTTGGAAATCTTGCCCATAGTCTTTTTAACACCTAAATGTCCTCCCATAGGAACACCGTGGGCCAAACACAAAACCTGATACCTATATGGTTCTGGCACCACCACTTGGTAGAGTGCCTCCCTTGATCCATCATTAGATGTCGTATCCGATAGGGTCTTTCACATCCAAATGTTATATGCAAAAAAGAAACAGTTGAGAGGCCTCTTCCTCGGTAACAGCAGATGATCGAATAGCTTTCAGGGTGTCGTTACACCCCTGGGACTCGATCACCTGCTCTCAAGTAGGAGTCGCCCCTCCCTATACCAGCTCTGTTGCAACCCCTGAATGGGTTGCAATGATTAATATATATATATATATATATATATATATATATATATATATATATATATATATATATATATATATAATTATTACCTTTTCATATAATTTTATACTGCTTGTATTTGCGATAATAGCTAAATCGTAAATGTATTGCTTTATATTGTTATTTGACTTAGCTTCCTTTTGTTAGGTAGGATGTAACATATGTGCTCAGTTCAAGTCTTGATTGTCTAACTACTGTAATTATCGCTTGTGGCTCGTTAGACTGCCAGCTTCTGTTTCTGAGCTGCAGCTGTCCACGGAGCTATCACATGATCGAGGGGGGGTGTCCTCACCTCGCCTGAAGTATTCAGTCTGATCTAGACTCTCTTGGTGGTTGGACAGATCGTCTGTCTCATTATTCTTGTTAGTTCTGGAGACTATGTTCACAGAACATTGTATAGACTTAGTGATTTTCGACGTTGTACTGAGGTTGTGTGTCGCTAAGACACTCTGAGCAACTCAGGTCCTGAGCTGTAGCTTCTGACCTAACTTGTACTGGTATCTGTGTATTATCACAGTTGGAGATTTTCTTATGCTGAACTTAGATTCAGCATTATGGGAGTTTTATGACTTTTGTGGAGGATCTGCTGATGGTCCCTACTTAGTGTCGTTATATTATCTCCTTGATCCTGATTGTGTCGCAGTTGCTTTATCATGTGGGAGTTCGAACACGTGGATTGGGTAAAAATACTCACGTAGGCTGGAAGTACGTATATTGTAACTGAAGTATGTGGAAGGGCGCCACAGCCGATCCTGCCTCTCTCGCTCACTCTCGTATAACTGACTGGCCGCCCACAGTACCCATATGTGAGGGGGTCTTTGAATACTGCTGTGGTCAGCACAATATGAATAGACAGTGACTCAGGCAGAGACGGTTGGTAGTGAGTCAACTACTGGTACACTGGTTACTGGTAACTGGTTACTACTACTGAGATTAGTGTATCATGCCAGTCAAAGTCAATATGAATCAGTCCACAGTACCAACATTCCCTTACTGACTGAAAGACAATACCTAGCCCTTGAGCAATGTGTTTGCTCTCACAGCTTGTATCTGAGATTTGTTAAAGTGCTGCGAAATGTGAAGTTCAGATTAAGTTCCTATAGATCCGTGAATTACTTATTAACGTAGCTGAGCGGTCAGGCACTAGTATACTGTCACTCCTGTCTGGACTCCAGCCACAATATCATGCACGCAGGATAGTGGTCGCACTATCCTGCGTGCATGATATTGTGGCTGGAGTCCAGACAGGAGTGACAGTATACTAGTGCCTGACCGCTCGGCTACGTTAATAAGTAATTCACGGATCTATAGGAACTTAATCTGAACTTCACATTTCGCAGCACTTTAACAAATCTCAGATACAAGCTGTGAGAACAAACACATTGCTCAAGGGCTAGGTATTGTCTTTGTCAGTAAGGGAATGTTGGTACTGTGGACTGATTCATATTGACTTTGACTGGCATGATACACTAAGTGAACCTTCAAAAGTGACTGGGACATGATCTCAGGGAACTTACTCAAGGACATAAGGCAAAAAATGAGCGATAACACTGAAAAATATTACTAAAATAACGAGTCAAAGAAACACTGAGTCTACACTGAAAACACAAGGTTTAGAGTACACAAGAAATTCATTATAAATGTCTCACACACGCAAATGTCTTTAAATGCAAGAAAAATGTCTCTAAACAGAAAACTATCACTGAAGTCTGTAGTAGTCGACGGTGATGACTGGTGACGAGGAAGGTTGTCCTGCATGGTGATGACGCTGACACTCACACTGTCGTCGTGAAGAAATGCGCTTTCTTGGTGAACTCGCATAATTGGCTTTATCGTTGGCGCTCAGCTACATCTCTTGACCAATTATGTGAGCCAAAACAGTATTAGGACCCGGTACAAGGGTGCAAACAACCACAGGTAGACGAAGTGGGTGGCTGGTGGTGGGTGGTTGGTGGTGGGTGGGTGGAGGGAGAGTGTATAGCGGTGGGTGAGATGACTCTCACTGGCGCTCTGGCATGCACTCCACTCTAC